CCAAATATGGTATGGATATATTACAATATCTTCAATTGCAAGCCAATGATATCAGGATAGTTTAGATGGAAAGTTGGTTGTGATGCATAGTTTCTTTTTGGCATCATAAGTGGCTTGGGGATTATCTTTTGAAGAGAGTATTTTCAGATTTGTTCAGGCCAGTGACTACGCCCAACTTAAAGGTTAGTGAGGCTGTAGAAAGGAGGGGTCAGAGTTGCTCGTGGAACATTCTTTTGGCTTCTAGCCAATTGAATAATGTGTTGTTAGCCCAATGATGGCAACTCATGGAGATGTTGGATAATGTATATTTATCTCAAAATGCAGAGGATGAGATGATATGGGAAATTGAGAGTGATGGTGTCTTCACTATCAAATCATGTTATAACATTTTTTTCATGATCGGTAGAGGTTGTCTTACACATACATTGCTCAAATCTAGAAATGGTCGACTCCACATAAAGTTCAAGTTTTTATTTGGTTAGCAGTGCAGGATAATGTTATAACATTTTTTTTCATGATCGGTAGAGGTTGTCTTACACATACATTGCTCAAATCTAGAAATGGTCGACTCCACATAAAGTTCAAGTTTTTATTTGGTTAGCAGCGCAGGATAAAGTTCTGACCATTGATAACTTGATTAAAAGGGGGAAAATTCTCCCGAATGTCTGCTTGCTGTGTAAGGAGGATGGAGAGAATGGTGCGTATCTTTTTATTCATTGCCCCTTTACGGTGAGAATCTAGTACCGGCTTTTAGATAGTGTAGGGATACAAATGGTGCTTCCTCAAAATGTGGCGGGAATTGTTTCAACGTTGAAATTACCTTTTCTTCCTAAGACGAGAAGAGTAGTGTGGAAGATTGCATTAGGGGTGATACTTTGGGAGGTTTGGAAGAAAAGAAATATAAGGACCTTTCAAGGGATTGCTACTCTTTTTGATAAACTGATCCATACCACTAAATATTCTATATGGTATTGGTTGTCAGTTAATAAAGAGGGATGGGGTATATCTAAGGTTAAGGTGGATGTGGTAGCTAACCTGCGTAATCTATTTTATCTTAGCTCTGGTAGCACTAGACCAAGATGCATTTGGATAGCTTCGTGTCTAGGAAGTTTAAAGCTTATCTTTGATGGTAGTTTTTTAGGCAACCCATGACTGATAAGAATTAGAGGTGTGATGCATGATTGCTATGGTAATATTTTGTTTACCTATGCTGGTCCAATAGGTTCTGCTACGGCAAATTTTGTAGAACTGAGTGCGTTGCTTTATGGCTTGAAGATTTTCATCAGCAAGAATATGGAATGTAGCTGCACGTTTAAAGGGGATTCCTTGAATGTAATCGGATAGTGCAATAAGGAACAAAGAGTCCTTTAGGAACTTTGGTACATGTGGGTTGCAAGTGATGGATTTGGTAGCTACTGTTTCGATTTCTTTTTTTCATATTTATTAAGAAGCAAATAGTATTGCTAATTTGTTCGCAAAGAGTGGGGCATCAATCCCTTCTTTTATCATTTGTGATGATGTATTTTTTTTTTTTGTAGTTATCCATAAAACTGTAACTTTGGTAAAAAAAAAAAATATATGCAGTCTTCTTTTTCTCTTTAACAAATATGCCAAACCATCGATTGCTTTCTTCTTTTTGGAAGAAACAGACCAAACTTGTTTCTAAATCATCATGGTCAAACATCTACAAGATGCGCAAGTCAATTTGTTTGATTGTCCTATGGTATTGAAGAGATCTGGTGCAAAACTTTTCACTTTTTTTTGTTTTTTACACCTGAAAATTTCAATTGAAATTCTTTCGATTTCAAGTTATTTTTCAAGAATTCCCTTGGCAATATATATATAATCTCGAGACTATTTGAAGGTGTGTTTCACTTTGATTGTTTAAAGCCTCGGCTTTATACACACCGCTTGCACTTTAACATATATACGCGATACGTGTCAAGAGTGTTTAGTAGGGAAGCTAAAAAGGGCAGTACGTATCGACACGTCTCCTTACGTATTCCTTACATACAGTAGTTTCCAAGGGCTGACCATATCACAATCAGCATAATTGGTAGTCCACATTTTTACAAATCGATAAAGAGAGACATCTAGGACTCAATTGTTAAGTCAACACTTTTCCTTATATATATATAAAAGGTGTAGTTTCTATAAGTTTTATATTTTTTTTAATATTATATATATATATATTATATATATATATATATATATATATATGAAGGATGTGTCCACATTTTTCCAAATCGATAAAGAGAGACATCTAGGACTCAATTGTTAAGTCAACACTTTTCCTTATATATATATAAAAGGTGTAGTTTCTATAAGATTTTATATATTTTTTTAATATATATATATATATATATATATATATATATATATAG